TATTTTGATTAGGTTAAAAAATAACTAAAAAATACAGCTAACTAACACAATAAAACGCAATAAAAACATGATAGCATAATAAAAAACATGATTTTTGAAAATGTAAAAAAACGGAGTTATCTGTTTTTGCAAATAAACTCTTTATATGTATATATATATATATATATATATACACACAACAAATAGTATAATAATAAAATTATTCATAATTAAAAATAACAATAATAATATAATCTAAAGTAAATTATACAAATATTTTTTATGTAACCTAAAATAACAAGGATATTTTAAAAGACAACATGAAGTTAAAAGTCTGACTCTGGCTAATCTCTTTTTCACTACTGGTGTCACTGCTGACAGTTAAAGTCATCAGGTGTAGTCTGGGGCACCTGGTGCTCAGAAGAGGATGGGCTTTCCCGCAGTTTTCTCCTGGACGTAGGAAGTGAAGCGCTTGAGGAATTTGGGATATTCTCTCTTCGCGACGGCCCTCAGGACAGACGCAGGAGCCCAGCCGCCAGGATTCACTGCAGCCACAACAGACAAACTTATTTATATATTCATACCTTTATTAAATATGAATATTTTTCTTTATTTTACTTGGGTAATTTAATAGCTATTTTATGAAGATTATAGATGAGAGAGGTTCCTCTAACCGTTGGCCACGTATGTGATTTTGCACAGGATGTTGTCTCTGCTGATCTCTTTGTCTCCCTCTGGTGGACTGACCAGCGTCTGGCAGATCATCGCAATGTTGATTTTAGCACGAACGCATCTGTTGTTTGGCTACATGAGGACAAAAACAACAAAACAGTGAGCCATAAATATATACAAGTCAGAATTGATCCACAAAAGCCATGAATGCATTAAATGTTGCACCAAACTCGTTAAACAGACAGACTGACTCAGCGGTTGCCATGGAGACCAGACTCACCTGGGCATTCTCGTGCTGGACTGAGAAGTTGCAGACGAGCCATGTGTCTGGATCGCTCTCGTTATTGGCTATAATCTTACGAATGGCAGACAGGTACAAGACGTCTCTCTGGGACGCTGGCCACACTCTCTACACGGAGCAACACACAAAACACTCCGTCAGAATCAATCGAATCACTGCGAGGAAGTGCCTTGGAGACAGCCTGCATTCCCCTCACCTTATGAGTCTGGTAGATGATGATGGCGGTATCGGACAGCGTCTCCACGATGTTGAAGTTTTCGACAGTAGCTGGAGACAGAGACAAAAACAAGAGCTAGAAGTCAAGTGAGGGCTGAAACACAGAGGTACTAGACAATGATGAGTAATTCTACCCATGATGCACCACTATTGACTGCGCCAGTGATCATTAGGAGGTACGGCTGAATTATCCGGCCAGTGAAAGTGTTCTGGTAAGTCACTGTATTAAAGCATGGTAAGAGTATATGGTGCCTTTACAGGCCAAACTGTGCCGAGTCACTTAATGTGCTCCATTATTAATAATATCATACAGTAGAAGAGCTTTATTAGATTATATGAAGACATGTGACGTTATACAAACCAGAAAAACTGATTTTTCATGATATTTTGAAATAAAGTAATAGACTGATTTACTATTTAATTGTACTATTCACATTAACTAAAACAATTTTTTTTAAATGTTCATTAAAATATTGGTGAAATAAAAAATAAAAAAATACATAGAAAAACTAAATGAAAATTTTAAATGCTACCATGAAAACTAACTGAAATAAGTTTAAGCACTACAATAAAAAAAAGCTAAAACTGAAACGAAACGAAACTAACTTAAATATAAACACACACACAATTACTAAAAACTATAATATTATATAAATAATAAAAATAACACTGCTTTACACAATCACAACTCAAAATGAAAATGTAGCTTTGCATCACAGGAATAAAGTTACATTTTAAAATCTATTACAATAGAAAGCACTTATTTTGAGTTGTAACAATATGGCACAATATTTCTGTTTTTACTGTAGTTTTAATCAAATAAATGCAGCGTTGTTGAACAGAAAATACTTTATTCAAAAACTTCTTAAAATTTTGAATTTTTACATTTTAAATATTACCAACAGTAGTGTATGTGATGATAACACGAGTAATATTAATATAATGTCTGTATATGTATATACATGATTAATACAGGATATGATGAACATCAATATAATATATGCTTTTGAGAATTAATTTAAGTTTAACATTCTGAAAATATTTAATCATTCATTTTCAATTGGCAAATAACAAGAATAGACATTATTTATTTTTGTAATTATTACATTTTCTAAAAATGACTAATAATAGTTGCTGAGTCACTGATGAAATGTTTAGTGTAGAAAAGCTCTTACTGAGTCAGTGCTGATCATGTTTTTGTGCAAAAAACTTAAATGGATCTCAGAAAAAAAAGAAAAGTGATGGTTATGGCAACTTTAAGCTTTAATGTCTGTAAGACTATGTGTGTATATATATATATACACTCACTCTCCCAATCGTTACGAACATCCGTATTCCAGAAGTAGTGGCAGAGCTCGTGACCTGTGACCCCTTTGACACAGTGTGTGGCCTTCAGAGGGTCCAGCACGATCCCGTTCTCCTCCACCTCGCGCCGGTACACCTGAGAGAGACAAACACAGACGGTCAGCGAGTCTGTGGACTAAAGCACACACATCAGATCAAACTAACATACATTACAGACATTAGATCCAACTCACCTTCATCTCTCCCTCTTCCACCACCAGCTGCCAGTTAGCGTCTCCACCCACGTCCTGCAGCGAGTAGGTCATGTGATTCTGAACCATCTCCTCCACCTGTCCAAAACACAGCAGAACAAGAAGGTCAGAGGTCATGCGCTCTCATTTAAGCGGATCTAGATTAATAACACTGAAAGTCAGCATTACACAATACTGACTAAATATGACAAACCACTGCTCTTTTGTAATGTTGGATTACTTCTGTATTTCTGAATGAAACAAAAAGAAAACTACTCCCCTCCTGAAACATCACCAGCACACACTTTTCTGAGGTCAAGTTCTTCCTCCAGAGAATTGGCACATATCTCGAAGCCAACAGGCATGTCATATTACTCCCTAAACTGTGTTATATTAATTAGCATTCAACTACTGGTTTTATAATGGCTGCATTAAAAGCAGCCCAAAACAATGACTATTTATGTAATACCATTTAATCAGCACTTTATACAAACACATACAGATAAATAAATAATAAGACCAGGAACATGAATTAAAGCAAATTAGCTGCATTTTGATTTCAAGGTGACTTGAAGTAAGAGAATTCCTAGAAGGTATTAAACATGCAAATGATCATATTAAAAAGCAATAAAAAGCATTATTAGCAGCAAATTTAAAAGGCAAACACAAAACAGCGATACCAGGGCAGACTGTGTGGTTTTAATGTGCTATTTAAACCGTATATGTTTGTCCATCATGCAAACTTGCCAATAAAATGACTGGTTGTTTTAAAACCTAATGGACTCCCTTGACTGACAGCAGTTTTGGGCATTAGCACCGCATCATACCCACATTAAAATAATGCCCAAAAATGCTGACAAAGTAGGCAGCTCAGATTAAGGTGCATTGTTTATTAATTATTTTATTTTATATATTTGAAAAGCTGAAAATATTTACATTTGTATTACATTTACATTTATGCATTTAGCAGAAATGCTTTTTTTCCAAAGCAACATATTGCGGTAAATCTGCAGAATTTTAAAAATCAAACTTAAGACCCTTTTAAGATCTCTTTTGATGATGCCCAAAATGTTATTTATTTATTTTTATACCATATATCAGCATCAAAGGTTATATTCATGGCAAATTCTACAAAAAATACTGCAGAATTTAAAAAAATCAAACTTAAGACCCTTTTAAGATCATTTTTGATGATGCCCAAAATGTTATTTATTTATTTTATACCATATATCAGCATCAAAGGTTATATTCATGGCAAATTCTACAAAAAATAAAAAGTCTCAATTACAATACTTCAATCAATTGTGTACAATCATTTAACAATGTTATTTTACACAAATAACAAATAAGTATCTATATAATTATATACAATAATTCAAATTGATATTCAATAAAAGTTTTATTATTTTTCTCCTGTAATGTACTTTCGGAGTAAAAATGTTTCCTGGTATCTTTTAATGCAGGACACATTAAAATGTTTGGAATGAAGCGCAAAAAGTCCCGCTGACTAGATATATGTATACATGTGCGATGTTTGCGAATGCATTAGCGATGTAAGGTCATGTCATCACAGTGTTGGATGAGTGTGCTGTTACCTCAGCACTGAATCTGTGCTCATGGAGTGAAGGAGTGAAGGCTACAGCAGAAGACGAGGGAGAGGAAGGACGAGAGGGGGGCTACACAGGTGAGGAAGAAGAGAAATGCAGCTTCATCAGGAGAAAAAAACTCAAAGAGACCAAGACAGAAAAACAGAGCACCACAGGGACACAGGAAGAGGTCTACAGACGATCACGATGAGAAGAATGAGCTCACCTTCTCAGCCAATCGGTGAGAGCCCACGCTGGAGTAGATGTCTCCTGAAGGCACTGAACTGCTCCTCTGTATCCTGCTCTTCTCACACTGAGACTATAAAAACACACATAAATTAATGAAAAAGGAAGAAGAGAAATGCAGCTTCATCAGGAGAAAAAAACCCAAAGAGACCAAGACAGAAAAACAGAGCACCACAGGAAGAGGTCTACAGACGATCACGATGAGAAGAATGAGCTCACCTTCTCAGCCAATCGGTGAGAGCCCACGCTGGAGTAGATGTCTCCTGAAGGCACTGAACTGCTCCTCTGTATCCTGCTCTTCTCACACTGAGACTATAAAAACACACATAAATTAATGAAAAAAACAACTTCACACTTCAATAACATAACGCATTTAAAGAGTGAAACTGAATAATCAGTGGAAAATAATGTAAGAAAGGACTGGATTTTCTCCATTGGCTTTTGATTGGATGGTCAAATGTTAATGTGTCATTGGTTTATAATTATTTATTTTCCTTAGAATAGAGTGCACTGATGAATCCTGCTCAATAAGACTGAGGATGCATTAAAGATAATAAACAGACTATAAACTGTTTTTATTTTTTTATATATTTGCTTTACATTTTTAAAAAGCTGAAAATACACATTAAATTTACATTTATGCATTTAGCAGATGCTTTTATTCAAAGCATCAAAACATGAGGTTAATGCATCCCATTATGTGCAGAGTTTTTAAAACCTTTTTAATACCTGCACAAACATAAAAAGGCTGAGACATGCATAAAAGGGTATATACATATGCATTTAAATAGATTCTAATGCTAATATAATATATAAATATATACATACTAATATATCAATACATACGAATTAATTATAGGTTGATCTTGGATTTTGCTGATATAATAATACTTTCAAAGAAAGGCAATAAAAAGATTATTTTGTGATACCAGCTAAATCTATATATTGAATAATATCCAGAAAAAAAATTATTTTGTGTTTAGTGTGGGACTTTTAATTTTAAACAAGCTCTAAATAAGCCTGTAGAACATGCAACAGCATCACATTTTAACTTTGAACATGAAGCAGTCATATTAATCAAATCAAATAAATTTATAGCATTTCACCAGTATAAAAGCTTGAAAGTGAAAAATAAGACAAATATTAGCATTGTAACTTACAGCTTAAAATAAAATAAAATAAATTTATAACAGTAATATATTTATATCCTTATTTTTATAATTAAGAGTTAAAAAGTTAATAATAATTTAAATGATATATATATATATATATATATATATATACAGTAATATATTTATATCCTTATTTTTATAATTAAGAGTTAAAAAGTTAATAATAATTTAAATGATATATATATATATATATATATAATTAATATATTTAATATAAAAACATCAAAATGCAAAACAAAAATCTGTTTATTTTAATTCATGTGACCATTTAACAACATCAGAAAACTATGAACATATGTGTATGTGTTGTTAAATTGTATTAATTTAATGAAAATAGAAAATACCAACTTAAAATGTGGGTACTTCAAGTAAATATTTTACGTCTAAGGGGTTTAGAAGAAGAAGAAAAAACATAGCATTATAAAGTTTAATAATCACATTAAACCGTATCATGATTCATTTTTTCACCCTCTAATTAAAGCTCTCTTAAAATGATAATTAAGACTTCGGTTTTCCCATTTAAGACTTTTAGGCCCGGTTTCACAGACAGGGCTTAGCCTAAACCAGGATTAGGCCATAGTTCAATTAGGACATTTAAGTAATTTTTATAAACTTGCCTTAGAAAAAAGCATTACTGGAGTGCATCTTTAGACAAAACAAAGGCACTGACATGTTTTAAGATCAGTCAGTGCAATTTCTTTCAGTTGAAACAGCTCAGATTTACATTTTAGTCTGGGACTAGGCTTTAGCCTTGTCTGTGAAACCGGGGTTGAATGTCTGTAATTACACACCTGTTCTTCTATTTTGTCCTGTCGGTCCAGAGCAGCCTCCACAGCGTCAAAGAACTCGTCTTCATTGATCAGGCTGTTTGGACCCTCCTGATGGACAGAACAAGATGAACATCTCCATACAGTTTACAGCTCTGCCTACTTCACCAAACGCATCTGCATAAACCCAACCCACCTCGTAATCAGGCCCTCCAAAATGAGACTTCTTCTTCAGCTCGGACAGGGCTGATTTATACGCCTCCTCCACCCTCCTCCTCTTCTCCATCTCCTGTAGGAAGCAAGAGAGGGGGAACGGCTTTAGCTGACTAAACACTCTGCCGCCGTGATGTTTAATGTCTTGGCGTGAGTAGATCTTGTCTCGGTGTGATCTGGGCAGAGCGAGAGACTGTATCGGTGCAGGATTGTCCTGAAGCGCTCCATTGTTCAGACAGAAGCAAAACGCCTGTGTTCTCGCTCTGATTGTATATGTCAGTATTGTGCTGAATGCTGCTGACTGCGACACATCGGCAGACGGATTCAGCTCCACCTCTGTATCACACGCTTCACATTCACACACAAACCCATTAAATCTGCTGGAGGAACTTCGCTGGTAAAGATACTGCAGCAGTTATTCACAGCTTTCCATGTTTATGAGTATGGCTTCCATCTCTCAAACTCTCTGGTGATGTCAGATATGATTTTTATCTAGAAATGACCAGCACTAGCAGAATTTGCAATAGCGGCACTGGAAGTATAGCGATTTAAATAAAATTCTATTTCACTATATAACTATAGTAGTTACAACAGGAGAGCTAAATGCACATGTTTGAAAAAAATGTTTATGTTTGCTGCATATTAATGAAAAATGATAAAAGAGTCCTGTCACACTGGTGTCATGCAAAACGTTCTGATTGGCTCAAACTCTGACAGAAGACTTCTTATATTAGTTTTTTTCTAGTTTCTTCCAGTGTCATTTTAGTATTGCTCATATAGAATTTTAATATTTATTGATATTTTCAATTGACTCATTTTCAGTTTGATTTTAGTTTAAGTTTTAGAATTTTTTATATATTATTTATATAGGATGACAGTATTTATTAATATTTTGAATTATCTTTTTTTATATTTTCACTTTTCTTTTTGATTTTTGCTTAAGTTTTAGTAATTTTTTTATGTATTACTTGTACAGTATTATTATTATTTTTTTATATTTTCAGTTTTAATTTTAATTAGTTTTAGTAATTTTATGTTCTTTCGTCATTTTTATATTTCTATAAAGTTTAAATTTTTTAAATAAAAATTTCTGTTTCAATAATTTCAGTACTTCAACTTTAACTTATTTTATTTTGGTTAGTCTAACTTTTGTTTACATTTTCATCCAATATTTATATTTAAAATTTTTTCAGCTTTATTTCAGTTTGCACAAACTAGTCGATAAGTTGCACCAGTATTTGATGCTTGTGTCGACTAGCCATGGGTCATTTGACTTCAGTTGCATTTCTTCTATGTCAGTGGGTGACATTATTTTTGAATGAAAAATTGTAAACAAAAAAAATAATACAATAACGTGAAAGCGAACAGTCGTCTTCTGCTCTGGGTGACTAGCTGCTTAGTATAAAGTAGTCATGGAAGCCCTACTTTGCTCGGCCTACTAATGTATCATATTTGTTCACATATAGCATCAATGCAAAATATTTCTGCCAAAGTTACAAAACCTTCAGCTGTGAATCGCCACGGCAGATGTACCATAATTTGACACCAGATCCCGTTCACACATGACTTTAACTGTGGGTATTTTTTTAGCTTCACACTACAATAAATGTGTTTTATTTTCACAGTCAGGGAAATATTTCGCTGTGTCAGAGACACAATCACAGCAGCAGCCTGCCAACAGAGCCCTGAATTACAGAAACACCATCTCTCTTCTGATTTGATCAGCTCAAGGACGAGCTCCAGACGCCCGAGCTTCGTACCTTATCCAGTCTCTTCTGCCAGCTGTCCTCTCTCTTCACCATCAGGTCGATGCAGTGAGAAAGCGTAGCCAAGATCCCCACCGTGGTCGCCTTGAACGTGATGGCCTCTCCTTTAAAATCTATCCCATTAATGCCTTTATGTTATGAACTTATTTATAAATTACATATTTATATACATTCTATTGAATATATATGATTTAGATGTAAAAAAATTAGTGCTGTCAAAATTAGTTTATAAATTCATACATGCAAATATATAGTTTTCAATAAAGACAAAAAAAAAAAAACTTGTCATGCTTGGTTTGGACACAGTGCAAGGGGAGAGAGAACAAACCCAGTCACACTCTGAAACATAAAGACATTCATTTGCCAAACAGTGTTACACAGATTACACAGTTATCTATTTAAAAAAATATTTAATATTTAATATTCTACATAGTGCAAAACATCTGACGTTCTTTGTTATATTATACAAAAACAGAAACGTATAGTATTTCCTCAAAAAAAAAATGATGCAGAAATGCACAACTCAATGAAAACATCTCAAACACAGCTCCACTGGAGACATGCTGACTTTATGTTATAGATTTCACACAATTCATTACAGCAGGCTCAAATGACTGGATCACTGGAGTAAATTAAGTGGACAAACTGCTCATAATGTCAGTGGCGCCCCAATACTGTCTCCTCGAGCTGAATCAGAGAGAATTCATTGAGCGTGAAAAACCTGCTGAAGTTTCCCACATGCAGAAATCAGTTTGTTTGTTTATGATTTAACGCCATGCGAGCTACCTCGGCTATATTCTGCAGAAATCAGTAAAGACACTCACGTTTCTCCTTGCTGCCGTTGTTGTTATGCAGGAATTCTCCATTGGAGCGAGTGGTAGGGAAACCATCTTCATCGTCCTCCACGACTGAGCAGAGAAAACACACAAACACAGTCAGTGTGAACTCATGGCCCTGTGGTTGGTGGTGCTCAGATCGGCCCACTCACATACTGTAGTACACAACGCAGCGAGAGAGGACTAGGACGAACAAAAGAGGCAGTTGATCATTTGTGTGAATCAACAGGCCCTTGTGCTGTAACAACAGATGCATCCAGAGCGAGCGAGAGCGACGGCACCCATGCAGAGGAATCTGGACATCGCTGCAGTCTGAATAAGGTTCAGCATTGTCTAAACATGTCTGTCAGCATATTCGATATCCTCATCTCTCCCACACACACCAGAACACACTCCGTCTACTCACTCTTGTCTCTCTGGAGCTCGTCTTTGGTCACGGCGTCAGCGCAGCCGTCGAAGAATTTCTGCAGCGTGTCCACCTGCCTGCACAGGATGTCTCGAAACGTCTCCATCTCTGCCAGCTTCTCCCGCAGACTGTGACCCTTCTGTGGGTCATAAACACAAACTATGAGTTCAAAGTAGAGAGGCATGACTTATTACCATATTGGCAATGCTCAATAATGGACGTTTTATGTGTGTCCTCACCTTAAAGGAGGAGGTGGAGGTGGCTGAGTATCCGCTGGTGGCTGATGTGAGGGACAGCATGGAGCCGTGTCTCCTCAAACTGGACTCAGAGCCATAACCAGACTCAGCCTAAACACAGAGACACAGAGGTTAATGTGAAATCCAGGAGCGGTGTTTACACTAAAGCTTCAAAAGTCGGCCACAAGGCAATAAAACATCAAGTCATAAATCAAGTCTCTTCCATGTTAATAGTTGATAAATAAGTAGTTTTAATAATAATAATAATATAATAAAAAATAAATAATTATATTTAGTAATAAAATGATAAATATAAAGACAAAAATTACATTAAAAATATATATAGAATTATATATTCAAGTTATATAATTTATAGATATTTAATATGCATTATATATATAGATATATATTAATATAAAATACATATAAGTGTGGACTGCATATTCAGTTCATATTCACATTGTCATTTACACAGTCAAACAAACATGACACTTTAAAAACAACATAAACTGGTGTGTCCTGAACAATTTCCACTTCATCTTCAGGATACGTCACTCACACTCACACACACACAGTCCAGAGAGTCACTTTCCATGAACTCAGAGCTCTCCTGTGGCTCATTTCATGAGTAACAGCCTCTGAAAATAGTTTCTGAGTTTATTTAGCAGCATAAACACACACAATGACTGTCTCCCCACGAGGCTTCTGAGCAGAGCATGACAGCACAAGCCCAGGTTACTGTATCTTTCCTCCACATGAACAAATTTGACCTCTGTACAATGCTAATAAACTCACTCATTACAGTCAATCTGAAAGAGGGAATGAAATACGATCTGAAAATCAACTACTTCCCTTGTGATGGTCCGCATACTGAAACGAATCCAGTTCAGTTTGAACACACACACACACAGAACACAAAGCCCAGAGAGAAATAGGAACACACACAGCTACACAAACAAACCTTTCCTGTAGATAAGAACCACCTGTAAACACATGACTTTACAGTCAAAACAACCTATTATTATTATTAAATAAATGTACAACTGTAAGAGCAGATAAGAGTCAAAACAACGGAATGGAAAAAAGAATCAATATCTCTGTTCATCTACCACAAGATTTTACCCTAAAACACAGATGAATTCATCGAGCTATGTTCAATATGTGATACTAGTGTACTATTTGCTGTATGCTACATAGTATACACTATTTTTCAAAACCAGTATGTGAAACATTTTTGGTTTTGGAGAAACATCTAGCCTATAAAGATAAGGTCATTTTGCTAAATATACAGACTGGATTAAAAAAATTAATAATATTTTTTTCATTTAACCAGATAGTGATATGTTTATTATTTAATGTATGTTTAAATAAATCTGTCATGAAAACAAGGTTTTATTACAGACACTGTTAAATGCTTTTTTTTTTTTTTTTTACTCAAATTGGAGTATAAACTTCCTATTTTATTATTAAAAAGTTGCTTATGTGCAATTTAAATGTTTGTGCAGCTAAATTTTTATTTGAATGTTGATTACTAAATAAATTTGATTAATTATTAAATCAACTTTTTTTTTGTTTTCTGTTCTTGGCTAAATGAACACTTTAATTTAGAATTAGAAACAACATGTAGCATGCAATAACAAGCACTTCAAACAGTACTACGTTTGCTACATTGTTGTCACATGACATTACACACATTGTGTGCTATTTGGAATATTTCTAATATCCATCTCTAATATTTAGCAATTTTAATCAAACTGTGTGAAATTGGCATCTGCAGGCCAATGAAAAATCAAGTTACGTAAGAAATGTTAAAGCAGACATCACACTGGAAACTAAATGGTAAACATGTTGCATTGTGGGATACTGTATTCCTTATTTTGGATAGCATATAGAAAAACTCAGTAGTATGCTACTGAAGTATGCTATACTGAACATACACACTGTCTTTAGTGAGAAATTAAATCTTGTCCAGCACTAGATGGCAACAGTGAGCACATGTACGGTTGAGTGGGCAGAATCTGAGGTAACTATAGGATAGAACCAGAGAATAAGCATTCAGTGTCTCAACCAAAGACAGGTCAGTCCTGCATTCACTCCAGCCAATCAAGCGCACTCTTACTGTCACTATGGCATTAATACCGCCTCCACTGACCAATCAGAAATCAAAAATAACGTCCGTGTCTTTGTTACACAATCAATAGCCTCAGAGACTGGTGCGCAGATGATAGACTTCAGGATAATAACATCCATTAATGCCCTATCTCCCTCTCATACACACACACACACACACACACCAAATCAATAAACCTAATCAAGTGATTGCAAAAAAACAGCAGGAGAGAAAAAAATGAGAAGGCATTATAATCAGTGACATGTTTAATTCAGCAGCAGTATTATTTAAATATATTGTGTGCAGTGTTATTTTAGCATCGTTAATATACTGTTATAGTTTTTGTTAATATTTTGACCAGGGTTATTATAGTTGACTAAAACTGGAGCAAAAAAAGAATTAAAAAAATAACATCTTTCTTACTTGTAAATAAAATATTTTTAAAAATCTTTATTTCAGCTAATTGCCAAGGCAACATTTCTCATTTTAATTTAGGTTAACTTGATAACTCAAATAAAAAATATATAAATCAAAAACTAAAAATATAATAAAATTAGAAACGGATTCAAAATATTAATAAAAACTATAATGGTATCTCAATTATGCTAAAATAACACAGATTTTCTATTAGCTATTTTTATATTTTCTGTTTATATTTTAATTGGTTACATTTTCTTTTTTTTTTTTTAAATATAGGAGGTATATTTATTTCAGTTTTAGTTATTTTAGTACTAACTGAAATAACTTTTTTATATTTTATTTATTTATTAATTTAAAAATATATTTTAATAAAAAATAAAATACATTTTATTTTATTTCCATTAGCGTTTATTTTATTTCAAGTGATAGTAATGTTTTTTTTTTTTTGTAATGGTTTTAGTTTTAATTAGGATAATAACCCTAGTGAGGACCGAGTCGGGGCTGATGTTTTGAAGCACAAAAGAGATTATACGAGATGAAATCAAGCACGTCTTTTAGATACACAAGCGCACGTCTCATTTCCAGTAGCTTTATTGGGAGAGTGTGGTGTTGACAGTGAGAGTGAAAGGCTTAACACAATACAGCTCTGATTAGATGGACAGATTACACACACTCACAATCTGCAACAACAGATCTGAACAGCTCCACCCATACGGGTCCGTGTCATATCCTCACGCAACTCAAGCCACAGATTTGTTATTAAAGGTGCAAACGGACTATGTTATGTATTATTTCTGCAGTCAGATTCCCGCAGCACAGGATTTTTAAACATAATTTTAAAGTGAAAAACCCACCTGTCATGCCATATAATGGGGTCTGAATTAAAAACAATCATTACTGAAGCTGATCTGTGTGGTTCTGGACTATTCCCTTTGTACCATAATGAGATGATAGACAGAAGGAAAGTGTCCTTGGGAAGAATTTCAGCAGTGATTCAGACCGAGAGAGGCCAAGAAGAGCCACTCAGAGAGGGGTCATCCTCGAGGCAAGAGAAGAATGAATGGATGGGGAAATGTGTGTGTGTGTAAGAGTGAAACCCCCTCCTCCTCCCCTGGGCGGAAGAAATCAGAAGCACATGTGGATCAGGGTGTATCCTCATGACACGAACACTTGTGCAAACTCAGCAGACAGACACTGAAAGAGGCAGAGCAATACACACACACACACACACACATATATATATATATATATATAGAGAGAGAGAGAGAGAGAGAGTGTATAAAATCCTTCAATAAGACCTTATCTCAAGTTTTTCATCACTCAGTAGCTCATATCATGATTCATATATCATTTCCCCTCATCAGCCTTTGATTGTTTTCGTTTTTCCACACTTCTTGAGTTTGATTTCCACCACAGAAGTTTTCTGTCCTCACCCCCACCCCCTGCGCTGTCTCTACCAGCCCACATCCTTTCTCTCTAGGGTATTTTACTACAGCTATGCGACTGATACGTTCACTCATGCACTGAAATTTTAAAATGATTTAAAATCACTTACTAATTCATTATTTTTTTTAATTAATAAAAATAAAGGAATTAATAATATGTTCACTTAATTCATTTTTTTATATTTTATTTATTACTGTTATTTATTATATATGATCATTTATTTGTATATAATATATTTAAATATTTATTCGTTTATACTTAAAATAAATCAACAAATAAAATATATACATTCATTTACTTAATTTTTACATTTATGAATTACTTTTGTGAATTTTTAATATATGTAATTATTTATTAGTTCAGAATTATTATATTTGTAAATTAATTAAAATAAATTAATAATAAAATACATAAATTAATTGAATTTTTTTGAAAATATTAACCACTTTTATTAAGCATATTTATTTAATCTTATATATAATTATGCATTCGTTTAAGTTTTCTGTCCTCACCCCCACCCCCTGCGCTGTCTCTACCAGCCCACATCCTTTCTCTCTAGGGTATTTTACTACAGCTATGCGACTGATACGTTCACTCATGCACATTGCGTGCGTGCGTGTTTGTTTGTACATGAGAACTGCTGTATGAGGTTTCACATATGATCAACATTCATTGTTTTTATTTGCGTTACCATAGAATTGTGTGTTTGTGACCTAAACTGACTTCCTGTGTGTGTGTGTGTGTGTGTGTAAGTCACTTCAGTGCTCAGCCGCTCAGATGATGTAGACAGACTGAATCACATTCATAATCTCACACACAGTCAGTCTTTTATCTCTGATTTCTCATCTCAAGGCGTTATTATTTAGTTTTATGACTCAGCAAGCAGCCTCTAGAGGGGTAACTAACCCACTCAGAGTTTACTATTTTAGTAACACGGTAAACAAGACAGCAATGTCTGACTGTTTCGTCCGATTTCAGATTAATTCACCCAAATTTGCCACATAAAAACAACAACAGCAAAAAACAGTGGTTGTTTAACATGTCGATCAGATTGCATCGACATAGGTGGTTCTCAGCCAGAAACCAGACTTAATACTGATAGTCAATAGTCTGGCTGCGTGAGAGAAGAGCATGCTGGGTAAAGAGACAGACACTCACCCTGTGTTGCTCGATGGAATCGATCCATTGGTTGCGATGCTCTGGGTCCTGAGCACGTAGATACCACACACTATCATTGACGCTGATGTCCAACCGGCACTCGTCAAACTCATGAGGCTACAGAGACAGAGAAAGAACACTTATTAGACTGATATGATCATCATACATCATTACTCATGACAATCATATTTGTACATTTATAAACAAGGTGCTCTGAGTGAGGGAGGGATCCAAGAATCCAATCTGTTGTTGATAAACCAGGACTATTCAATACTAGACCGAGTAGTAGTTGTATATTTTTATTTAATGCCATGTCAGCATCTTAGGCTATTTTCATGACAAAAACAAATAAAAAAATACAAGTATAACAAATACAATAAAAACCAGCAAACAAACAAACACAAGTTATATTACACAATATTTTTTACATTAACATATGATACAAATTCTAAAACTTTTTCTGGCAATATTATACTAAATAACTCTTTAAGTGAGTTCAGTACTAGACAGAACAACCACAACCAAAAGAAAAGAGAGAGCCTTGACCCACAGAGCCAGCTGGGAAATGTGAGATATTTCCCCCTGAAAAAAACACTAACAGCAGCCATGTCTGAGTGTGCGTGTTTGGTATTATTGCCAGATGTTGATCTCTGTAGACCTCACACTGCTCTATGAAAACCAGATGAGGAGTCAAACACTCCTCTTCTTCAGTCTGATATACTGCACAACTCTAGCCCAGTGTTTCTTTTCTTTTGCCTCCCACTATCCGAGAACACACCAGTATTTGTCATATATATATATATATATCATTACACACACACACACTAAATATGCTATTAATTCTTCATTTATTTATGTATTAATTTATTTTTATTAGAGATGCACCGATAGTAAATTTCTCAGCCGATACCGATAGTCGATTGTTTAGCGTGCTATCGGCCGATACCGATACCGATAGTTTGGTGGTTCTGCATTTTATATCTTCTTTTAAATTAATAATAATCCATAATAATTCCATAATTCTGAACGCAATGCATATAAAACTTTATTATCTCCATTTAAACAGTTGTTTCAGTGACTGGTCTCATAAACAGAAAACACATTGCTCAAATTAACATTAACGCATTAACAAAATGTGTAAGATTAAATTAAGACTTTTTAACTTTTTCTGTTATTAATTCATATTAACATTGACTAAAACATTTTTCTTTTTTATTCTAAGAAAAAAAACTTCTGTTATGCTCAAAAGCATCTCTGCTTTATCATTGAACATCAAGCTGGTAATATTAAATATTAACAGTTTTGATTATATTAACTCATATTAATATTAATTGGATATGAAAAGCATCCTGTTCTTCTCACAAAGCATTTCCCTCAAATACATGTGTAAGGTAAAACTTTCTTTACAAACAAGCATTTCTGTTTTAGCACTAAACATTAAACTGGTAATTTTAATCTAAACTTTTTTTGATGATATTCACGAACATTAACTGGATACAAAAAGCATTATGTTCTCACAATCAATCAGCATTTCCCTCAAATAAGTGGTTAATGTTTCTGCATCATGGAACACCAAACTGGTAATTTTAACTTTTTTGAATGTTCTTAAGTGACATTAACATTAACAATTCTGAACATCTGCTCACAACAACCTCTCATTCAATTCCCTTATTTAAGGGTAAGGGGTAAGTTCTTCTTCACAAATAAAAGCATTTCTGCTTTATCGCAGCTTAGACGATTTCTTTTCTCGTTTAGGACATTAGATGCTGAGCTAAAGGTTCTTTCACTATCGACGCTCGTACAAGGCGCGGACAGGTATTTTCTCGCCACTTGCGCAAGCTCAGGCAGACGGCCTTGATTAGCGGCCCAGTACGTTAGCGCGCTCTCGTGCCTGGGAATCACCGGCTCTGCTAGGTAACTGGCAACTTGCGTTGACACACTCGCATTCTCCGCCACAGTCCCGTTTTCTTGAACAATTTCGTTGAATATGGCAGAGAAAGATGCTGTTGTTGATTCTCTTGTTTCTATGCGAGCCTTCTTTTGCTGTACGATATCTAAAAAATTATAAATAAATAAATACATAAGCCCACTGTGTTTTAAAAGCAGACTTCTGAATTATTGAATTGCCTATTATATTGAATATTATATTTCTTTAGATGGAAACTTACCTTCTAGATTCTGCACATCTTCTCTGTCTCCAGGATGTCCGAGTTTCTTAATCTCCGCAACTATCATTTCGTGCATTTGCTGTTTCGTGTCAGCATCAAAAAACTTGTCTTTATATCGCGGGTCAAGGACCGTTGCGATACAGCACATATGGTTGGAAGTGGTGTTCCTGAACTGTTTTTGCACTGCCTCCAGTAATGCTTTTTTCATTGTTTTAACTCCGTGGTCACTGTCGGCTTCTTTGCTGAGTAACCTTTTTAGAGTCTCAAGCAGGGGTATAATGTCAGCAGCGGACGCATCTTCTTTACTAATCTCTCTGGTTATTTGTTCAAAGGGAGAGAGAAGTGTAGTTATGCTTTCCATTAGTGTCCACTGCTGCGCAGTAAGTGTGACTGGTAGTTCGTAATCTGCAGCGTATGCAGCAAGCGCTCTTTTCTGTTCCAAAAGGCTTTGCATCATATAGAAGGTGCTATTCCACCTCGTATTTACATCATGCTTAAGTCTCTTTAGTGGAAGATCGATCTGTGACTGAATGGACTGTAGACGTGAAGACGCTAGCTGCGAGTGCTTAAAGTGGCCCACAATCTTTCGGCACATACTGACCAATTCTGTCACACTTCTCTGGCTTAATATTCCTTCGTTGACAGCCAGCTGGAGGGAATGAGCCATACAGGGCAAACTCATAATCTCACTGTCCGTCATGGCTTTAGCCATGTTCCTCGCGTTGTCGCGTACAACAGCGTGCACTCTTGATCTGTCGATTTTCCATTTGTCTAACATGTCAGTGAATGCTTGAGAGATTGCCAACGAAGTGTGAGAACCGGTAAATTCTTGTGAATGAAGCAAGACTTTAAGTTTAAAATCACAATTGATCCACTGAGCAGTGAGACTAAGCATGCTCGTAGGGCTTACCTCTGAAGACCAAATATCTGTGGTGAAGCTCATCGCGGAGTCGTTATGAAGAAGCTTATGAACGTGATCTGCCACACGGTTGTATATCTCCGGTAAGCAGATGTCTGCGAAATAATGTCGACTCGGTAAAGTGTAGCGAGGCTCAAGGTGTCTTACCAGTCGCTGAAATCCGGTGTCTTCAACTACGGAGAATGGCTGATCATCAAGCGCCATAAATTCCATTACTTTCTGAGTAATTTCAAGCGCTTTCGTGCTGTCAGATTTGAATTTTCTGGTGCTGTCAAACACTAGCGCGATAGAGGGAGTCTGCTTTGTAGCTAAAGCAGCCTCCGCTTTAGCTTTGACGAACTCGTCATATTCCTTGGCATGTCGGCATTTAAGGTCTGTAATCAAGTTAGTTGTGTTAAAATTTTTAACTGAAGTTCCACCTCGCGAAATTTTAGCTGTGCATAGCTTACAAACTGCAGTTTTGTCGTCATTGTCACCCACTTCAAAGTAATTCCACACAAGAGACATCTTTACACACAGCACGTATTCGATGCATTCCCGCCAATTTTGATTGACAGGATATATATCGGCCCTGATCATTGGATTTCAATTATTGATAAATAAATTAAATTTTTCATTATTTAATTTTATTTTTAAAAATATCATCCAGCCTATAGTAATTATAATAGCTAATAGTAATTATTCTAATTTCAAATTTAAAAAGAAATGACCTGAAGTTTAGTGAGTGAGTCATTTGAACGATTCAGAGAACCGATTCAGACTCAGGAGTCAAAAATGGATCTGACACAACCACTTTAGGGAAGTCACAATTTATGTTTGTTGTTACATGCAACCACCGAGGGCATCACTATAAAAAAAGAAAACTGTCTATATATTTTGCTTTCACTCACAGGAAATGACACTACTTACGTGAGTAATAACCCGAGTCCTTACAAAGACGCATATCAGACTACATCAACAGAGACAGAGCATTAGAAAAACCCCAAATGATATGACAGACACCTGGTCTTCTGGGTGAAGCGTGGGGCACTCATTCAAAAGCCTGACGCTAATCACAATATGAAGAGGCATGACAGGACGACACATGAGGACTGAAACGGGCTTAAATGAGACCGGAGACAAAGCTGCATGCGTTTAATCAGAGAATAATCAGTCACATCTGAGCGAGAATGATTATCACTTATCACACCACAAAACACAACCACAACAACAAACAAACACAGAGAGCCAGAGGCCTCAAACAGGCTTTACATAGAAACAGCATCTTCCCACTACAAACCCAGAGCTCAGAGGAAACTGTGAGAAAACTAAGAGACTCGTTCACAGTGTGAGACTAGGATTTTATATTATGCTGCCTTATAAGATGCACTTGCTGAGAAGGCGATCCCAGAATGCACTGTGATGAGCTCAGTCGGTCGGATCTGTTCTGCATTTACAATGACAGCGTTTGAAAAACGGCTGTTATGATGTTGAAAATGTCAGTTTAGATTTAGGAGTGCTTATATTTGTGCGTGGAACCCAGAATGGACTGACGCAGGAACATTTGAGTGCCTGTATGGGAAAAGCATTGAGCGGGATTCTGGGAACGGAAAATCGAGACACGGTGGGCAATGCAGGGGACACCAAGTGGGTCACAGCGGGTACTGAGAAGAGACACTAAAATAAACACAAGGGTCGTCACTATGGGACTGACTGAACCTGCGAGACACCATCAATCGCACGGCAGTGAACACAAACACAAACACACATATCACAACACTGACACACAGATGTTAAACAGGACTGGTATCTGTTGATTCATGTGTGCTTCCATCTCAGATAGTGCTGCATTGTGGGCAAACATGCTTTAGTAGAGCTGTAAAACATAACATGACCACAGTATATAGTATAGTATATGACCATTAGTATATAATGAGCAATAAGTTTACTAACCTTCATAGTATATACTACTATAAACATTTCCATGTTTTCATATAAATATTTTATATTATATATTCTGCTTTTTTTTTACTTGGCACCTATTTTGATAT